GATAAATTTATCAAAGGCAGCGACATCTGTGCAACCAAAGATTAAGAAGATTATTTTTTGTCGACCAAAAAAATGCCTCTTGCTTTCAAATCTAATTTTTCTAGTGTATAGGGAGCGAGAGGGAATTTAATTAAACTAATATATAGGAAAATAACTGAAAGTAACAAAGCTCTTATGTTTAGTACCTGAATGTTGATTGTCCCTTTACTCTGTTAGAAACTGATCGCATTTATGCGCATAAGCAGAAGAGAATTAATCCTCACAAATGTAAAGATTTTTACAGCTGTTGTTAAATGCTGTTTTAATTACTTGAGAGTTATTAGTCAAAAATTTTCATCACTTTATTCCATCATGTCGCAAGTCCACCACAAAAGGGAGTTCGAAATTGAAATAGGGTCCAGTTCTTTCTTTCAGTTCTTTTTTCCTATTTTTGTTTTGAGCAGTTCTGATTAAACACTTGAAAACAAGGATTTATATGATAATGCACTTAACTGAACCTTTTTTTTTCTATGATCCCGAAGAGGGAACTGACTAAATTACAACATGACTTTTGATCGACAACCAACGCTTTAGCCATTTCAAATTAAACAGCATTTGTCTCTGACATCCCTATGATGTGAAATTTTCTTTACCATAGATATTTCCCGTTTTTATGAAATGCAATTAACTTTTATTTCTCTCTTTTTTTTTTATTCTTTCTCAGCCAGAAGTTCAAAAGAAAACGATAAGATTATTTCCGTGTTGGAATGAGTTTGTATTGAAAATAACATGTCAGTGGGAGATTAACTGTATGTTATTTGTCGATTGGGAGGTCATTACTGTGAGAAGAGTCCGTCCAAGGGGAGCATTTTCTAGACCGTGATCGCAGTTTTTTTGTCCTATACGATTCTCTCATAAACTAGCTTCGAACTAATAATAAATAATAGAAAAATGATTATGTAGCCCAAATCCACTAATTGTCTTTAATATCAACAACTTCACCCCTTGTCGTCAGAACAATTAGGTAGTAAAGGATGTGAAAGAAAATAACGTCTCCATCTGTAACTCTAAAAAAATTTCCAACGCCCTTAACGAACAAGTTTTAGCTATTGGGCCCAGACTAGCCCGTGAAATACTCTTAACTTCGGACGAGGATTCTACCTATTTAAAGAATACCGATGAAAATTAAAACAAATTTTGTTTTCGTCCAACTACTACAAGTGTTGTCTTTTCCCATCTAATTAGATGGTGAAAAACTAAAGCTATAGGCTGACGACTGAAAATATACCAAAGTGACTCCTTTGTTTAAACAACTACCGAACTATCCCAGTCATTTCCGTAGTCGCCAAAGTGTTCGAGAGGATTGTGTACGATCAGTTATACAACTTCTTAAATAGTGAAGAAATCATCTTTAAACAACAATCTGGTCTCCGGTGTCTGCACTCAACTGCTACTGCACTTCAATAAAAGCCACTGACAGTTGGGCATTTAATATATATCGATCGTGGAGACGTCAACGCCGTAGTGTTTCTCGACTTAAACAGGCATTCGCCACCGTTGATCATGAAGTATTAGTTACTAAAATAAGTCGCTTTGGAATTCAAGGTTAACTCTAGATTGGTTTTAATCGTATTTGACGAATCGCACTCAGCGGTGCTCAGTGAACGGTTGTCTATCTGACTTCACCACTCTTAAATGTGGTGTGCCATAGGTAACAATGTTTGACCCTAATTTATAATATAACATAGCTAGCAGAGCTGTGAAATAAGAGCTCAGTATACGTAAGCGTTCTAAAAATCCCGATAGTACACGCTGATTGTGTGAGCAAATCGCTTGGGCAGAGTTTTTTTTTTTCGAGCGAGCGGCTATTGTCAGCGTGGGAAAAAATAATATATTTCGCGACAATAATGGTTATTAACAGAGACTCGGCCCACCAGTCCTAAAACGAAGACAGTTTTCCGACCTTTTCCCTTGGGCTAGAGTTCTTAAACTCGAGCTTTGAACAGAAAATTTGAAATAAAAATCAATTCATATTTTGCTTAATATTTCGCTTGCCGCGAACAATAACCACTAATATTGTTGTCCGTTTTTCACGTCGGATTTGATGCACAATTCCTCCGGTTATGTTATAAAACCATTGGTTCATGCTTTTAGCTGTGTGCTATCGAGTTATGGAGCACGTGGGAAGTTTGGAGAGCACTCAAGAAGTTAGAGTTGCCCTCGGCTATTGCCTCGGGTAACTCTTACGTTTCTTTCGTGCTCTCCAAACCTCCCACGTGCTCCATAACTCGATAGTGCACGCTAAAGCATGAACCAATTGTTAATTAACGATTTGCCTCACAGTCTTCCGTTCAGCATACCTAGTATGTACACTAATGACACCCACATTATCTATGCTGATTCTGATTTGCTTTTGATCCAGTCTGGTCTATCTCACGACTTTGAATAGCTAAGCAAATGGCTTGTGTCGAACAGACTTACCTTGAACGCTACAAAAACTGAGTTTATGTGGATCGGCTCCAGGCAAAGATTGAGTGCTCTATATGGTACACTTGAACTCTCCATTGATAATATTCCGATTTCTTCTGTGACATCACTTGGAATATATATCCATGAAAATTTAACGTGGTATTACGACATGAATGAACTGTGTAAATAGATTGCTTCTGAAATTGGAGCCATAAACGTAGTTAAGCCATTTTTGCCTCAATCCACTCTACTCAATATATACAACTCACTAGTTCAATCTCACTTTAAGTACTGTGGCCTAGTCTGGTGTAATTACTGGAAAACATTATCTATTAAGCTACAAGAACTAAGAAACCGTGCTGCACGAGTAATAACCTCATCAAACTATGGCGTAGATCTCGACTACGCACAAATTCAGCTCGAAAGACTTGAAGTCTCATCATCAAATTCAGGTCGCCTTCTTAATTTGGTTTTCAAGTCTGTAAGCGGCCTGTTTCCAGAATATCTCACGTCTAAATTTATAAAGCGAAGTAAATCAAACAATTCTCAGAGGGAATCCGTAAACAAATTTGTTGTCTCCTTTCCAAGACCTAACTCCATTAGAAATAATTTGGATATGTCAACAAAGTTGTAATGGTAAATTGGCCCCCGTAACGATTACAAAAGCTGACGTTTCGAGTGTTAGCCCTTCGTCGGAGCGAATAGAGGAATTGTGGGTTGTGTGTGCTTTTAAAGGCAGAAAATGGAGCTACGTTATTGGTGGGAACATGGCAACGAGAAAAACACGAATAAATTAGTGGAATGAAAAGCGTTCGTTGATCCCTGTAGGATTTAGACTGCCGGTTTGAAAGATGAGCTTTTGTTCAAGAGTTTTACGGCTTTCCGTGCTACCTAAGTGTAAGGAAAGACCGCAGATTGCCATATGTTGCTTAGAATGATAAGGTAAATCAAAGCTCATCTTTCAAACCGGGAGTCTAAATTTGTTGATATATCCAAACTTTGTTGATATATCCAAATTATTTCGTTACTCCCACCGACGCAGCCCCAAACAGTTTCTTTCGACACTATCAGCCTTTATCCATTAAAAATAGATTAATTTGTTACAGCGGTACAAGCCTTTGGAACAGCTTTCCCTGTAAAAAAAGAAATTAGAGAGTCAGGTTCATTTAGTCAATTTAAACGCCTTTTCTATCATAATTATTATACACAGCATACACAGAGTTCAGGTTTCTGTGTCTAGTGCGAAGCGCGGACTATGAGAAAACGCTAACATCTTCTGGTAAGTGCTTCACATATGGCAAATTATTAGGTTATACGAATAAAGTTTCATTGAGGTTTCTCCTACGTGACATATTACATGATGCATTCTTTACAGGGCACCAGGAAAAGTAATATCATCGATAATCACTAGTAATTTATTCGTGACTCGAAATAGGCAACCAATGACAATTGGAACCTATTGAGTGTGTATTATTAGAGACGACTATTGCTTCTGAAGTGTTTTCCGGAAAGAGACAACATACACCCAAGATGGCAGATTGATAGGAACACAGTTTATTCAGGTTGGCATGCGCTAAATATAACCGCTAACCTGATGCTACATCCCCCCCTTTTTTAAGAAACAAAGGAAACTGAAATTATTCAATTTAACAAACAAACCACAACAATATAAAAAGAAGAGCAGATCATGCTGCAACGAGAGCAATGTGTCCTTTGTTGAAAACTGAAACAGAAAGCTTTAGTGAAAACTTGCAAAGTGTGTGCTTTGTATCTAATACTTAGCATGGTCTTTAAATCTCTGGGGTTCTCTGATTGTCCGACCAGACCGCGTGGTAATAGCCATAGACATTCCTGTTGGCGGTGTTACACTTACAGGATTGTCGTGGGCCACTATGACAGAGGATGGCTCAACTTCGGTGTCCGTCAGGTCCTCAGGCCAAAGTCCCCCGAACAGCGTTGTGATGCGCATTTGATCATATCGACATGTTAATTTGCGCAATATAAATATTAAGTTATTATTATAATTATTATTATTATTATTATTATTATTATCAATCGAGACTTCCGGTGTAGGGGTGATTTCCGGGATCTGAGGCTCTTCATTTCTTAATAAATGTCGACGGTTTCTTCGGTACTCTCCACGCTCTGTTTCAACCTTATAAGATCGGGGTGAGGGAAGAACCTGTGTAACTCTGGCAGGTTTCCACTTGTTACCTTCTTTCACTCTTACAACCTCACCATCCCTCAAAGGTGGCAATTCCTTTGCTTTTCTGTCATGCTGCGGCTTCTGCTTTCTCTGCCTTTCTTTTAACTTAGGGAGGACATCTTCAGGGTCATGGAGTTGAGGTTTCAAAAAATCCTCAGTCACTGGAAGTGAGGTTCTCAAACGTCTACGCATTAGCATTTGCGAGGGTGACAGATTCACTTCCTCCAGGGGGTGTATTCCGGTAGGAAAGGAGAGCTTTGTATGGGTCATTAGCTTTCTCCAGCATTGCTTTAACGGTCTGCACTGTTCTCTCTGACCGGCCATTGGATCGTGGGTAACCAGGACTTTAAGTGATGTGTTCAAAACTCCAGTCTTCTGAAAACTTCCTAAATATTGCAGAGTTGTAACAGGGGCCATTGTCAGAAACGACAACCGAAGGGACTCCATATCTTGCGAACTGGGATTTAAGAGCTGTAACTATTCCGGCACTTTTCATTGACGGGAGTAAAGTTATTTCTGGCCATTTGGAGTAATAATCGACAGTAACGAGGTAGTTCCGACCATTCTTGTGTAGAATATCTGTACCAACCTTAGCCCAAGGCAATGGTGGAATCTCATGCGACTTCAAAGGTTCAGGCTGCTGACTTAGTCGAATTTCTAAACATATGGGACAGTTTTCAATTTTCTTGGTTATCTCCACACTCGTCCTCGGCCAGAACAATACGTCCCACGCTCTCGCTATTGTCTTGTTGATACCCAGGTGTCCCTCATGCAGTTTCCCAAGCATCTCCTTTCTCAAGCTACCTGGTACAACAATCTTTTGTCCCTTAACGATCATTCCCTGTTAATTCATCACGGTAATTCCAAAATTCCTGTGCAGTGGGTGGGACTTGACCTTTGGAATCTGGTCAACCCGACAAAATAACTTGTTGCAGGTCAGACAAAATCGCATCTTCCTCAGTTGCTTTAGCGAAACGGGCCAACTGGTGGTCAGAGATAACATCCTCTCCGAGGTTTATATCCAATTGCTGAGCATTCGTCAGCTCTTCTTCCAAATGGGCTCGAGACAGAGCATCTGCTAAATATAGGCTGTCTGCACGCTTGTATACCACATTTATTCCTGGAAAGCGCTGGAGTTGGACCAACATCCGTTGCAGCCGTAAGGGTGCTACGTGTAAAGGCTTCTTCATGATTGCCTCCAAAGCTTATGATCTGATTCAACTGTGACATCACGACCCACGATGTACTCTGCAAATTTGGCACAGCCAAATACTACTGCCAAAAGTTCCTTTTCAATTTGGGCATACCTTTCCTGAGTAGGCGTAAGTACTTTTGAGTCGTAAGCTATTGGTCGGTCTTCCTAAATCAAAGCTGCACCCAGTCCAGTTGAACTGGTATCCACTTGTAGCGTCAGGACTTTCTTAGCATCATAATATCCTAAGACAGGGGCGAGGACAAGCGATTCCTTGATTGCTTTAAAACTAACTTCCTGCTGCTCTTCCCAATGCCACTCAACATCTTGGTGTAGTAACTGTCTTAATGGTGCAGTTAGGAAAGACATGTTGGCGATGAATTTACTGACATAGTTGATCATACCCAACAATCTTTGCACACCAGATTTATCTGTCGGCCTTGGCATTTCAACTATGGTTCTGACCTTCTCTGGGTCTGTCTTCATCATGGGAGAACAAGTGGCCATGGAACTTCACCTCTTTTTGTTGTATATAGCACTTTGACTTCTTCAATCTGAGATTGTTATCTTTGGAACGCTGCAGAGCAGCTCTCAACCGTGTATCATGTTCTGGCCGAGCTCAGCCATGTATTATTATGTCATTCATGATGACTTTCACACCCGGCAGTCCTTCAAAGACTTGTTCCATCCTTTATTGGTAACCTTCTAGAGCAGACTTAATCCCCATCGGCATCCACAGGTATCTATACCTCCCAAAGAGAGTATAAAATGTCAGGAGCCTGCTACTCTCCTCGTCGAACTGGATCTGGTAGAATGCTCTTTCTGCATCCAAAGTTGAAAATAGTTTGGCTCCTGAACAACTAGTTGTGAAGTCATCTACCACTGGCAAAGGGTAGTGTTCTCTTTTAATGGCAACATTAAGATGTTTAGGATCCAAGTATAAACGAACAGACCCATCCGGCTTATATACACAAACAAGGCTGCTTACCCAATCAGCTGGTTCATTCAAGGGAACTTTCTCTATGATGCCAACATTCTACATTCGATCTAACTCCTTCTTCAATGGAACTCGCTTGGAGTGAGGAACTCGTCTGGGTGGGTGGACAACAGGAGAAACAGAGGGGTCAACACTAATGGGATATTTACCAGGGAGGCACCCGCGTCCTTGGAATACCTCAGGGAACTCATCAAGAATACTGACACTTTCAATAGCATTTATACGCTGGATTAGATCCATATTCTCACATGATGATCTACCGATCAGGGGCATGTAATTTCCATCAACCAATTGAAAACATATTTGATACCTTTCCCCACGCACCCAACGAGGCAACTCACACTTTTCAACAGGTCTAATACAAGTTTTGGAGTAACTTTCTAGTCTTGCCGAGGAAGGTTGCAAAGGATTTGTTGTGATTTTATCATATGCGGCTTTGGGCAAGACATTTCACTGGACCCCAGTATCTAGTTTAAAGACTTCTTCAAGAGTTGCAAAATTGACAGTTTCAACCGAGTCTTTGTGTTCTGCACTGACTGCTCCAATGAACAAAACTTCAGAGTCAGCATCACAATCGTCGAGAGTATTTACCTACTTCTTTTGTCTATATAGGGTACGACACATCCTTGAAAAATGGTTCAGTTTCTGGCACTTGTGGCAGCGTTGCCCAGCAACAGGACATGAATTTCCGGCGTGTCGCATACCCAACTCCAACAGGGCATTCCCCCTTGAGGCTTCTGTCCTTTGCCGTCTACTACATCCACTTTCTCAACTTTGCTACTCTCTTCTTTAAAGCTTCTCATGTGCCGCTTGCTTGTTTCGGTGCCGCGAGCTGCTTGTAATGTTTTCTCTAAACTCTCTTCTCTCTCCATCAACCTTTCTTTGGAAAACGGATCCTTTAGCCCCAGTACTAACATAGATGTAATCCACGATTCTTCTTTGTCACCGAGGTAGCTGTTCTTAGCTAGTGTTTTTAATGCACTACAGAATTCATCGACTGTCTCTCCGCCTTGCTGTTTCCGTTCGATAATCAAATAACGATTGAATTACCTCGAGGTTAGTGGTGCACAATGAGCTTTGAACTTTTCCTCGACGGCCTCAATTTTATCCCGATCATCTTCGGAATCTCACACAGAATTTGAAAAAATTTCCACACATTCCTTTCCAAGCACGTGGAGAAACGTAGCGACTTGAATCCTCTCATCCTTTTGATCGAGTCCGCTCGCAACTTTGAACATGACATTTTCCCATGACATTTTCCAACGCCGCCATGCTTCGACTTTATTCGTCGCTGCAGACAATATCAGGGCTTCAGGCGGTTTCAGGTGCTCCATCCCACTCCTGACACCATAAAGTGTTTTCCGGGAAGACACATCATGCACCCAAGATGGCGAATGGATATGAACACACTTTATTCAGGTTAGCATGCGCTAAATATAACCGCTGATCTGGTGCTACAGTTTCAACACCATGTGCTTTTCACGACAGCTCCCGACAACTGCAAGAAAACTCTTTCCGACGATTTGCTTTTGTTGCTCTCCTCGACGAGCATGATACGAGCTGTCCTATCGGTAAGTTACTTGTTAGTTTCTTACTTTGTGATGATCAATTTCTTCAGACGCATTTTCTCAGTATGCCACAGGTTACGAAGTATGTTTCAATCCTGCCGAATAAAGGTTTCGAAAGGTGCTTCAAAGTTGAAGATCAACGTACTTGGCGCCGACAGAATCTCCATGCTGCTATTTTGCGACCGCCTTTAATGCTCTAATAGGTTTACTCCTAAAACATTTAAAACTATACTAGGAGTTTTTACAGTATATAACTTATAACTATATTTAAAAGTATTGAAATAGTGATGACAATAACATAGCTAATAACATTGATCATAAAACAATAATGTTTCTAAAATAAATAATTAAAATCAATATACACCGCATAAATAAAAGCTCTAATGTCTTTAAATATATAAGGACAAATTGGCCTTGAAATCATCTAGAGAGTTAGGGATTTGAGGTAAGTTCATATTGTTCCAAGTTCTGATAGTTCTGGGGTACAAGGAATATTTGTATGTGTCATTCAGGATGCAAAGCTGTTGGAATGGTACACAATCTGGGTACCTTGATGGTCTGGTAACTTGCATTATCTCGGATGGTGACGAGATCCCAAAAAGGCCCCTATAGATTTTGTAGAACATGTAGGTTTGATTTATCAGTCTTCGACCTTCCAAAGAATCCCATCCTAATGATTTAATCATCTGAGAAACACTACCGTGACAAGATTAATCATTATTGACAAACCTTGCGGCACGTCGTTGGACCATCTCTATCTTATTGACATTGCACTGTTTATATGGATTCCACGCGCTACTCACATTTTCTAAGTTAGGACGAACAAGCGAGCAATATGCAGTATTCTTTACCAGGGAAGAACAACCGGAAAGGACTCGTTTAAGAAGGCCAAGGGATATTATCGCAGTGTTGATTCCAAGACAAGTTATCAGTGATTGTTACTCCCAGGTAAGTTGTGGAAGGGACTTGTGATGTAATTTTACTGTTCCTGAAGTAAGTGAAGTTAACAGGTATTTTCTTTCGAGTAATTCCGAGGTGGTAACATTTGGACACATTGAAACAGAGCTGCCAGGCCCTCGACCATTGGTACAGAAGATCAAGGTCTTGTTGTAGAGTAAGACAGTCCTGGTGTGAGGCTACCTCTCTGTGAAGAACACAATCTTCTGCAAATAGCCGAAGCTTAGATTGGATTGAGTTTGATATGTCATTTATGAACAGTAGAAGTAGTGCTGGACCCAACACAAAGCCTTGAGGCACTCCAGACACCACAGGTCTTGACGAAGAGTGAGTACCATTGACTGAGATACTTTGCTTGCGGTTTGACAAAAGGGCCCTAACCCGATTAAACATGTTACCTCTGATTCCGTAGTAATCAAGCTTTATAAGTAATCTCTCATGGGGAACAGTGTCAAATGCCGTTGAGAAGTCTAATAGCAACACATCTGTTTGGCTGCGGAGGTTTATACCTTTGGCCCAGTCGTGTATTGCAGAAATCAGTTGAGTTTCACAGGAAAAATTTTCCCTAAATCCATGTTGATGGTTGATGACGATATTATGTGGGGACAGATGTTTCGCCATGTGACTGAAAATAATGTGCTTCATTATCTTGCAACAGATTGAAGTTAACGAAATGGGACGGTAGTTGGCAGGTTCTGATTTATTACCCTTCTTAAAAATTGCTGTCACCAAGGCATTTTACCAATCAGATGAAATTTCATTGCATTCATATGACTGCTGAAAAATAAATGCTAGCCAGTGAGATATTGATTCAGAAAGTTCCTTTAGTACTTTTGCTGGAATTTCATCCGGTCCACATGCCTTCCTGAGATTCAACTGCGATAATTGCTTACGAACACCATCTGCGAAGATATGTAGGTTTGGAATGGAAGAGAATGACGATGTTCCAATATTGCGTGTCGGCAGCTGCTCTTGGGTGAAAACAGAATAAAAGTAAGCATTGAGAGATTCAGTTTTGTCTTTGTCTGATACAGATATTGATGAACTATCATTCTTTAGGGGTGGGATACCTATATTCTGACCTGCTATTCCTCACATAGGACCAGAACTTTCTGGGGTTTTCAGACAAACTGTTGCCAATAACATCATTTAGATAACTGTTGTGAGACTCTTTGATGAGCTTATAAACCAAATTCCGTTGACGCTTAAAGGCTTCCCAATGCTGTGTTTTTTTAGAGCGAATAGCTCTTTTGTGCATTCGTTCTTTCTTGCGCATTTCCCTTTGAATGTTGTTATTTACCCAAGGCAGTTTATATCTTGGGTGTGATGATTTCTGAGGAATAAACTGGGACATTCCAGTAGTTAATGATGTTTTAAACATATTCCAATTTTCCTCAACTGTTCTTTTTTCTGGATCTGATGTGAACAATTTAGATGACGAATCTGACATAAATTTTTAAAGGCCAGGAAAGTGAG